AATTTTGTACTAGGCTGCAATTTGGTCAATCCAATTGGAGTCAGGAGGACATCTGCATAAACACACATAGGATTGCACTGTTAATCATTTAACTCACCTTTTTTTTGTAGAAGTTCACTAAGGATCAACGTTTCTTTGCACATACCATAGTGCAATGTTACAATTCCAAATGAGACCCATTTGAACATGGATATATGTAACAAGCATGGAAACATTTAGCTCACAATTTTAATCAGATAGACTTGGAAATAAGCTCAGAAATCAATGTAAATCTGTTTCAGTTTAAAGTGACAATCTTTTGAAAGCAAATATTGCTGATGGCTTTGTGTTGTTGTTGTTTTTTAAAAAAATTGCTCAACAATTCTCACATTCTTTATTTATGTATAATGCAAATAACTGTGATAGATATGGGGAGAAGCTGCAGGAGGCATGCTAAAAGCATTCAAGGATGGGCTTGCTTCATCCACAGATGACAAAATCAACCCAACTGTTGCTTGACACATCCCATAGTTATTCCTTGACAGATGACTGAGCTGAAAAACACTAAAATGTCACACATTCATTTATCTACTTTGCTGAACCTCAGGCTGGGCAGGGGCAATGCCTGTCACATCTCTTTTCATTTAAGTTTGCCATTTGTTATCCTTAGTTGCCCTTCTACTAATCTTATTTGCTTCGAGAATGTGTGGGTGGCTTCTGTATTTTAAGGAAAACCTCAATGTGGCACCAAGAATTCATTAAAAGTGGACCGAAAACAGAACATTAAAAGCCAAGCCATTCCAGCCCCCAACAGCAAACAAGCCTAGCAACAGCATGAAGAAATCTCATCAAAATCAGGAACTCAAACTCAGCCAATGCGATATTTCCAAAGGCTTTCCTAAATAAAAATGTGTTGAAATGGCAGCTGAGCAAAAGAGGCTCAAAAGTAATGAAATCCATAGGTTGGCAGTGAGAAACAAGAAAGCCCCTTGAGGGAACACGGAGAAAGGCCTTTTCTTGGTGGGTTGACACCCCCTTTTTCAACCAGGTATCCTCCAGGTGGTTTGGCCTGCAGCTACTGCCAGCCTCAGCCAGCATAGTGCCTCTCATGGACTTTCCCATTCAAGATGGCTGGTGTGCCCTTGACGAAGTGATTGCCTGACATTTGTGTGTTATGTGCGCACAATAGACCTAGACAGAAAAAGATACAGCCAATCAAGCCTTAAGTGAACCGGTCTCAAAGTAAGGGACAATCAAGCGCAAAAATGAGGGACACCAAAGCTTTGCAGTGTGTGGTGGGGAGGGCTAGATCCCCAGCTAGTTCCACATGTCCAAGGGCGTGCATCAATAGCAGCCCCCCCATACTACATAACAAAACATTTTCTAAAAACAGAGCAGCTTGCTATGTATTTATTCATTTTAAATGTTGGTGTTCTTTCCTTTGTCAGAAAATTATGAAAATCTTTTTTAAAATCAACAAAAAACAAGAGCAAAATTCTCATTAAATACAAGTAGCAATCAGCAAATATCTATGTTTCCATCTCTATCAGCAGTACAGAAATTAAAACAAAGTCAAAATACAATCAGTGTCCCAGAGCAGACACATTTTTACCTACTAGTAAATAACTAGTAAATAAAAAACTCAATGGGCTCAACAATTATGGTTCCATGGCTAAGAAGGCCCCATCTTCCATAATTGTCCAGATTTACTAAAGATTGGAAACTCCTTAAGAAATGGATAAAATATTTGTTTATAGAAAGTGGAATTATTGGAGCGGCTGTTTTGAATAATTTTCTATCCGTAGCTGGCAGAATGAAAAATGGAAGTTTTCTTTCTTTCTCTTTCTTTCTTTCTTTCTTTCTTTCTTTCTTTCTTTCTTTCTTCCTTCCTTCCTTCCTTCCTTTCTTCCTTTCTTCCTTTCTTCCTTTCTTCCTTTCTTCCTCTTTCCTCTTTCCTCTTTTTCTTTTCTTTTTTCTGTTCCTCCTTTTAGTCTGTGTTTTTATTTGGATTAGTTTTTTGTCTTTGATAATATTTGATATTATGCTTTGTATATTTTCTTCAAACTTTAATAAAATTCAGGGAGGGGGAGAAGGCCCCATCTCCCGTGTTCTCAATTGGTCAAAGGACATAAAGAAGGATTTCTGAAGTAGCCCCCAGTTCACAACAGAGAATGTGTGGTAGAAATCATTCCTCAAGGTAACCAGTTCCTGGGCCATTTAGGGGTTTAAAAGTAAAAATCAGCACCTTGAATTAGGTCCATAAATGAATAGGAACTGATTAAGATGGTTCAAAACTGGACATTTATGCTTTGTCCTGCTGGCTTTAGTCGATACCGTAACAGAAGCATGAAGAATAAATGGAAGTTGGTAGATACTTTTCAAGGGCAGGCTGATGTAGACAGTAGTCCAGTAGTGACAGTATTGTACACTGGAAGTTATCAAAGCATATATAACCATGACATGAAATACAGCATATGTATCTGCCACTCAGTGGGTACACTAAATAATTTGGGTGTACCTAAAGCTTAGAGAAGAGAACATTGAGAAGGAGGGGAACTAGCAATTGGAAAGTGGCTTGTTGTTATTAAGAGATGAGTTAAGACTGAGTTTTTAATGCCCTGCCCACCAGGCTCCTGTAGCCAACATATTGGCAGCAGCTGTTCCTCCTGCCACTGTTGAATCAGAATGAGGGAAGCCAACAAGCAAAAATTCCTTAAAGTTCAGTTTGCCAGACACTACAGTTGTGACTACCAGGGACTTTCCAAGAGGAATGAGGACTACCATCTCCAGTCCTTTCATGGAAACAAGTCATATTAACGTCTGTGGAATCTACTTCAGTGTAAGCAGGCCTGGGAGTGGAGTTAGTTGGAGAGCTAAACATTACAGAATTAAAATCAAGGATCTCCCTATCAGTCAGAGACAGCAAAATGATTGTGATGTTAACTACTTTCTAATGGTGTGCTTTTTTCTGTGAGGAAATTATCAATTCACAATAGAAACAAGGAAACAAAAAATGGCAGAGTTAAAGTTGCCAGCCTTCATATCATGTTTGCAGGCATATTTGTAACACAGAGTTGGTTTGCCAACTGGCCTGGTGCTTGAAGTCAGCGCCCCATGGAGTACACCCATAGATATCTTGCCATCTTCCATTCTGTCAACATGACCAAGGCAGTGTAGACGTCACTGAGACAGACTACAGTTGTGGTGGCCACTTTTGTTCTTGCAGAGGGTCACAATGGGCTGAAGAACACCATCAACTCTCAGACATGTGGGAAAGCCCCACGACAGGAAGGAATCCCAACAGAAATGCTGAAACCTGGCCTCAACTCCTCCCTCATGATGCACCTCCACGACCTTCTCTTGCAGTGTTGGGAAATGGGATCTGTGCCACAAGCTCAGCAGTGACAAGCATTTATAGCATGATGTAATAACCAGAGTAATGGAATTATAATTGGGGGGCACCCAGTTGCACGCCTACAGGCACCCGGTTGGCCATTGTGAGAGCAGAATGTGGGACAATGTGGCTTTTGGACTGACCCAGTAGGACTCTTTTATGTTATCTCAGACTGAAGGAAAAAAACAAAATGGGAAATTGCAAAAAAGAGTCTAATTTCAAAACCCTGTACCTGACTGTTGTGGACCCTTCCTCGCCTCTCCCTCTGCCCCAACCCAACCTCTCCATCTACCATTGCAGCTACAGTCTATCACCCACTTGTATTCTCCAGCTACTGGAATTCAGAGGTAGTATCCAGTCACCAGAATTAGTAGCCACTGATAGCTTTATCCTCTATGCTGTCAGGGGATAAGGCAAGCAATTCTTCCTATTCCTTCCCTTATTAAAAAAAAAAGGTGTCTTAAAATTGTCACCATATCTCTTCTTTCTTCCATCATATCTGTAGCTTGGTTCCTTAATTTAGTTTTGCCTCATATACAACTTACCATCTACTCTCTTGATCATTCTCACAGCTCCATGAGATTCACTTTTCTGGATGTCATTTTCAGCAGAAGGTTAAAAAGCAAGAAGCATCCTGCTGGATCACTCCTATTTGAACTGGTTCATTGCTTCTTTTATAACCAAATGCTTGGCAAATGCTTAATGGTTTAAAATATTCCTATGTGTTAGGCCTTTAAATATTACTACAGGTGTGATGAAAATCCTCAGGATTTCACATTTGAAGTAGAGAAAGGCTGCAGTGAAGTGTACAGATCAGTGACTAAGGTGCTTAATAGCTGGCCTAACAATCACATCTTTGTTCTTAAGTGGTTCTTTTCTTCCTTTAGAATTTACCATTGGCACATGGTGAGGCATAAACTATTCTCTTTTTCTGCTCTATGGGAAGGAAAGATACATTTGGAATATCAAGTTCTAAGTTCAGTACCTTCTGCCAAATAATTTCCAAACAAGAAGGTAACTCAAATTTTGAAGGGTTCAACTACAAAAAAGTTCTGCCCCAATAAAAATACCAAGATAATGATAATTATTATTAATTTTTATTATTCATCTAGCACTTTAGTTTTCAAAGAGCTCTGTAATCCTTACCAGTTAAAGTTTATGCCAGTCTTTAATTCATTCATAAGATCCCTGACATTTTCTGGCTGTCCTAAAGGGGTAACAGTTGAGCTAATCATTTTATCCTCTTTTGACTTATTATTGCCTTTTTTAAAAATCCAGTTGCCCACCTGCTGAACTTTTTGAAAAGTGATTCTCAATGTTAGATGATGCCATATACATCCTCTTTCAGCGGCAGACTAATGCCAGGGTTTGAATTACTATTGAATAAGCAGCAATGAAATATCTATGAAAATAATCAGTAGTTCCAGCAACCACAAGCAAAAACAAGGCAGAGTTGTCCTTAATCAGCAAAGCCCATTTGTAGAACAAGGGCTGTGAGTCAGGCTCAGCCTCTTTCTGTGTCTCTGTCTCTCTGCATACTGTTTCTTTGCTGAAGCTAGGGGAAGGCAGGTGGTGTGGGAAGAGCATTGCTCAAAATGCTTTTTTTTTAAAGTTGACATCACTGAAATCATGTGATTGTCAAGAACCAATTGAAAGAGGCTGTGGAAAGAGGAACGGTTAAATTTGTAATATTGGTTGTGTGAAACACTTCTTTGGGCCTCATAAACAACCACAGAACCACAAGTTGGGTACAGAGGCAGTCACACAAGAGCGGGTCCGGGATATTGGTCAGCTGGCAGGGCGAATCATTTTGACTGCAAACCACAAGAGTTTCATAGAGTGGTAAGCATCATGAAACCACAAGTGATCCGCTATTTCTCTCTCTCTCTCTCCCTCTCTCTTTTACAAAACAGTTCAGTGGTTGTGTGAGAGAAAAAGACTCTTATGACTGAATTTATTTTACTTTGCAGATACAAACATGCAAAGTGCAATGGCAGAGGAGTTTGTTACAATGACCACTCTTGATTTTTTACTTCCCAAGGTAAAAGAAATAACATATCGCCCCCTTTTAAAAAAGAAAATAAGTTTTTAAAAGAGGAAACCATGACTTCAAACAGCTTCTTTGAGTCATTTCCTTCTTACCAGCAGTGCTTCGTGCGAGGTAAGTGCCACTCAATCTTTTAAATATACTTTTTGACTCATCCATGTTCAGGAAAATGCATGTTTGCACTTTTCAAGAAGCTCTTAGGAGCACATGTTTTTCCATGATTATTTTCTCTGATTCTAATAAAATCTGAAATGTAAATGCATTACCAGCTTGATTCTGTTGAGCAATTGTACTGAGCATTCATTTCAGTTGTTCAAGTCACCAGTACGTAATCAACAGTGCTCTGTTTTGTGAATGTGACTGTTACAGATCATACAAATTGCATGCAACAAGCAGAAGCACAAACCACCAAAGGAGAGTTTAGCTGTGCTGGTGGAGTCAGTGCTTTGGAACTGCACTTATTTAAATAGCCAATAGCACACTGTATGCATCACAGACTAATATGAATAAGGAACAAAGTTGAGCTGTTGCTCCATTTATGTACCAGTCCAAATAATGGAAGAAGCCTAGGGCTACAATTCACATATGCATTTTTATCTAGGAGTAAATTCCATTAAAATTAGTGGGGCTTACATCTGAATGAGCATGAATAATATCAGGTTGTTGGAATCACTCATTTAGGACATTTAAAAAATAGGAAAGGAACTTAACTTCCCACTGTGTTAAAAGTCACTGCACAGTGAGTAGAGTGAAGCAATTTTGATGCATTTCTTGTTTATTGCATGGAAAGCTGTGTTGCTTTCTGTATTTAGATATCATTTGTTGCAGATGCTTTCAGAACCATCCAGAGGTGCAGAATAATAAAGCAACCTGTGGAACAATGTCCTGTACAAATACTGACTGAAGTTTTCTGCTAGCTCTACTATCCTCAAAACAGATGTTTTGATTGTGATAAATCCTTATTAGTAAGCAAGTTAACTTGTGAAAGAAATAGGCTGTCAGGAAGTTTCCTCAGTAGCATTCCAAGATAAGAGTGATACAATATGATAAGAATGTTATTCTTATTCTAGCAGTACTCCTGACAAAAAATGCCTGTTATAATAAATGCAATTTTATAAATTGAATTCTTAGCTATTTCATGCTGGTGGTGGTTGGCATGGGTGTTTTTGCGTGTGTATGTGTGTGAGAGAGAGTGCACACAAGCGTTGCAAACTCCTTGGCCGCCTCAGGAGTGTCAAAATGAGTCACCAGTTATTTGTATTAATAAGCATGCAAAGGAATGCGGAAGGGTTGCAAGCTGCTTTGTCACAACAAGCCACTTTGCAGCATCGCTCCCTTATGGATTAGAAATGGGGTGAACATAGGGGAGAAGAATGCTATAAAAGCTTTTCTTTGACTCTGCGACTACAAAAGTTTTAAGCAACATTTTACTGGCAGGAGAGGATAGTGTAGCTCAACCAGATCATTATGAGCTGGGTGAGTCACACACCTTTTCTTTTTCTGAAACATCTTTTAGTAGCAAGGCTGGGGACTGAGAAACTGCTTAATCTTCCCCGACTCATTTCCTTTGGGTTGCTAACAAGCAAAGGAAGCAATATTCGTAGAATAACAAGGGGTCTTCCTGAGTGTAGTTGGCTTCATTTATTTTATTTTATTTTTTGCCCATCCAAATGTTTATTTGCTCTTTTATCTACAGGACAGGAAGGCTTTATTGAGGAAATTTTATTCATTTGGAATGTAATAAAGACTGAACCCTGTAGTGCTCTACTTGACATAGTAGTGTATAGTCAGCCTGTTCTTGAACTCTGACAGGAAAAGAGCCATAAATGAGTAGATAAAGTTTAAACAAATTTGAAACAGCATGTATTAGGACCTTCATTCTCCATTAGCATAAGCAGGCATAACAATTCTTCTACAAAATTAAGTATAATCATTTTATTTTATACCAGACCAATCCTGTGTTCCAACATAGAGAATGCATACTAAAAATAGATTCCAAGTGCAAAATTGGCTGGAAATCTGCCTTGTGTGAAAACCAGTGCTATTTTTCTAGAAAAAGAGGTGTCAGAACTCAACCATGAACACCTCCCTTGTTCTCTTGGTGCCCATCTGAGAGGTGACAGAAATGAGTTCCAGTGAGTCACGGCTAAAAACAAAAACCCTGGTGAGAACCATTAAAATTGTGAGGAGCTCAAACATTTCCCCTCCTCTACCACTCAGATTTCATTCAGTTGATCTTGGTCCTATTGGGGTACAGTTCTCATAAAAGTGGGAAATATTCTGTGCCCCTTACTTTCATTAGTTCATATTTTTACATCTTGCAGCATCATTTGTGATCTCCTCATCTATTTGCTGTACTGTCTGATAAGCACATGTATTGGGCATGTGCTTTGCTTAGTAAATTTCCTGTATGCTTTCTGTTTTTACCTTCCCCTCTGAACATAAGTACAAGTGATTCCCTAAGAGCTGCAGAATTAGCCTTCACTCTCAGCAGTAGTTTAGACTGAGTGGTAGCCAAGATGGTTGCTAAATGATCTTTGGAATTAGCAGCACAGAATGCACATCAACCACAAGTGATTTCTGATCTTACAAATAGATATGAGAGGAAAGCACATTGGCTGCCAATGGCACAGAGACAGCAAAAAGCATCGCAGGGATCATGCTGGGCTAGAATTTCATCCATGATACCCTAGTTTTTTTGCTTACATGGTTTTTTATGTGAGATTATTAAAATGAAAGTCTGAAGCATCAAATCCACCCCACCATCTCATGATGATGCCCCCACATTCTGAGTCTGTGGACTAGGCCTTAGTTCCAGAACTGGACCTGTTTTGAGCAATTAAATCAGACATTTTGTTTTGTTTTGCCTATATTTTAGGATGCGAGCTTAATTGCAATAGTAATTACTTAATCACTTCAGTAAGTAGTGAATGTATTCATTATTTTCACTGATTAATAGAAATAAATGGGGTTTAAATATGAGAGACTTCAAGACTTGTCCAAAAGTGGTGTGTGTGTATGTCTGCTTCCTCCTTTTACTGAGTTTCAGACAATTTCAAAAGACCTGACTTGACAAATACCTAGGCTTTGATGCAAGAAAAATAATCATTCCCTCAGTCAAATTGTTCTCACCGCCATTTCTCAGTAGTGTTTATACACACTAGTCATTAGAAATGTCCAAAATAGTTTGGTTATTTTTCCCGCCAAAATTTATTACACTTTCGCTCTCTCTCAACTAAAATTATGGCCTAAAGGGTGGAAAAAACAAGTTGTTTTCTGCCATAGATTTCACTTTATCAGCCCATGCAGTCCTCTAGGACGGAAATCCATCATTCTTTTTCAGTGCGATACTCTGTGAAAATTTGGACAAAAAGAGAGGAGTGGGGAAGCAAATACTGGTCCCACCCTCTGTGAAAACTGACAGGATCACAAAGCTTGTCATATTAATTGAATGTGGTACACCACAAAGGATATGACCCTTTTTCTATCACACCACACCAGGTCCTCCCTTACACTGCTAGGTAAAGAAACAAAAAATCTATTTAATATTTCTTTTTGGGAGACCTAGGCTTCTCCAAAAATCACACATTCCTTAGTGTACTAAGAAAATTATGAATTATTCCGCTTTCTAAATGTTTTTCACTAACAAGTGTATGGCAATGGGATTAAAAAAACAACAACCTTTAATACCCCAAAGAAGGAAAAAACACTACTGTAATAATCTGAAGGTGAGGAAAACCACCATACTACTTTTAATGGTTTTATATTGCTGTGTACCTGATATTTTGTAACAGAGTGGTACATACTTTTATAAATGAATGAATGAATAAACAAATAAATAAAAAATAGCTATCCTGTGTCAAATATGAATTTATTGCCACAAACTTCCTGAACTCTTGGAGACAGCAAACAGAGCAAACCTATGCCTGTCTAGTCAAAAGTAAGTCCCACTGAGTTCAATTGGGCTTCATCCCAGGTGCATTGGCATAGAATTGCAGCCTTAGTGTTTGAGCACCGCTTTCTTCTTCTGAATGCCACAGCTGTTAGGGTCATGTCAAGAGATACAAACCTGGTGGGGGGAGGAATCAAATGCTTTTAAAATCCCATTGCTTACGTGTCTTCTGTCAATAGGATTGTAAAATGATTAGTGTTGGTTGAATTGTGCCCATGTTATCTATGACCAGGTGTAAAGAGGAGTTAGATTCTCAGGTTAAGAACTTTGCTTCAGGATGGGAACAGAAATTGGGTGGCAGAGGCACGGCGGCAGCGGGAGGCTCCATTAGCTAAAGTGGTGTCTCAGGTTAAGAACAGTTTTAGGTTAAGAACAGACCTCCAGAACGAATTAAGTTCTTATCCCGAGGTACCACTGTATTATAAGCAATTTTCCTTGGGATGGAGAAGAGGTCAGGGACTTGAAACATGCTTCAAGGGGGGAAATTGGGTTCAAAGAACACACTGAATGACAAGAATAGAATTATCATAGATTTAAAAAATAATTTAAGATATTATTTGATATTTCATCTGAAGACATACAATCCTGTAGTAACAAATGATAATTCTTAACATGTGGGATATAATGAGGCTTTTCTTGTTATGCACACCTAACTCATTTGTATAGATTAATTCCTACAAATGTGACTCACTCAATAACTTCTCCAAGTATGCAGAATCCAGCCCACTCATAGGAACATTTGTCTCTAGAATATTTAGTCAGCATTGGTGTTACATGTCCTCCAAAATCCCTAAGGGCACATTATTGAAAAGCCTTCAAAATATCCTTATGGATGGCAGCTGATTAAATTAATGTGTTATTATCCACAGTGCATATCCTAAGCATCTTAATCTAAGCAAGTACAGGCAGACTCTTGATGACCTGGAAACATAAGGCTAAAATAACAATATTGACAGGTGTCTGTCTAGACTTTCCTTTCAATTCTTCTTTAATGTGGAGCTACTGTTCAGCTCTTCCTACGTTAGAAACTTTCTTCGCGTATCCAGCTTAAAATGTTTGTTGAGTACTATGGCAGAAAGATGGTATATAAATGCAAGAGGCAAATTCTGTTGAAACTGAATGAAATTATCTCTTGCCCTCTTGTTGTTCTCTGGCCCTATGC